CTCCCAGCTCCACCTCCTGCAGCCCACAGGCTCCTCCAGGCAGTGGCAAGCACAGGTATCCTCAATTAAGAACTGGGATTAGGGCAGGGAAATAACCTCCTCATCTTTCCACAGGTATCCAGTAGGAAGGAGGAGAATTCCTCCCCTTCCAAAATTCCCCCCCAGGCAATGCCACAACCTCTCACCGCAGCCCCAGAGATGAGGGTGGTGTAAGACCAAGTCATCCAGAGCGATGCAACGCGATGCAAAGGGAGTTGTGCCCGCTGCTTGTGGCAGTTTAAGGGAGGGAATACGGCGAGCATCACGGCCGGGTTCATAGGTACCTGATGGGGCCGTAAACTGGTCCCAGTGGTTTGGGTTTTCCCAAATCTCGGGATCTACGTGGCCATCGGAGAGCTGTCGCCCTGCTCAGGTCACTGCAAGGATATTCACTGCTGGATAACAGCGATCGCCTGGTTCGGATGGGGCTGACGGGCACATGGATGCTCAGCGCAGCAGCTCCCGGGATGGAGACGCAACGTGAAGCTCTGGAAACTCGTCCTCGCCCAGAGTTGGCTCAGCCCTGGTTACCTGCTCCCGGCAGGGATGCTCAGCCCCTGCCACCCTTCTCCTGGGCTTTGCTCCAGGCTTGTCCCACAGCCCATTGCTGCCCTCACCCAGCACCCTACAAGCTGTCCCTCTTTTTGTACCCCCACCCAGCAAATCTGCCTGTCTTAAAGGGGTGATTAAGCATCGTCACTTAGAAAAGGGGAAACTGAGGCACGGGAGACTAGTCCCCAAGCAAACCAGCTGCAGAGAAACCCAACATCCCCATGCAATGACCAGACCCCCCAATCCTTTTTCCCACCACCTCCCCAGCCAACACCACCCCAAAGGGTGGCCTGGCCCTGGGAGGGGGGACAGGGGGGAAAAGTCCCTCTCCCAGCCCCAGGATCCGGCCCCTGGGTTATCCCTGGCATGGATGCCGTTCTGCGGGAGCCACTGCCCGTCCATGTGCCGTTCCCCCCCCCAGCAGCTACTTTCCTAGATTAAAAATCATGCGCTCATCGCCTTGGCGTCAAGCCACGGAGCCTCTCGCTTGTTTTTATTGACAGCACCATCTTTCGCTGATTAAAATTCCTTTAAGTGCACCCAATGGCTAAACCCAGCCCCGAGGCCAGGGGTGCTGTCACCGTCCCCCACCTCGGCTCTATATCGGGGTTTTCTGCCCATGTTCCCTCTCCGCTGCGTGTCCCCGGGTGCTGTGTGTGCCTCCCTCCCCGCTTGGTCTTTCCTTGGCTTCAAAAATAGAGGGAAAAGAGTCCAAAATGCTCCTGGAGATGAGGGGAAGAGTGATTTTTATTTGGGAAAAGAAAGGGACTGGTGTCAGGGTGTGCCAGGATCTGTCCCCATCCCTTGTCCCCCATCTCCCGCTTGGTTGGTGCTGGATTTATACAACTGGATTTATACCCGAGGGACAGAGAGTCACGAAACACAGGCCAGGAGGGGAGTTGTGCCAAAAGCACCTGGAGCCAAGCCTTGCAGCTCCCAACGAGCAGTGGCACTATAAGAAAATCCCCACTGGCCCCAGGCTGGGGCTGCCGGCGTTGGGCTTGGCTGGGATCACCCATCGGCAGGGATGAGCTGCACCGTGGGGATATGGGGAACGCCGGGAGCATCCTGCTGCCTGCTGGGGAGCCGGATGCCTGGGTCCAAAAATGGTTTGAATTCCTCGTGGAGACAGCTGAAGCATCGATAAACTGACCTTTCTGCTCCCCTTGGGCTTTCTGCTCCCTTTGGGAGCTGTTGCTTCTCCATGCCTGGTCCTGGGAGCACCCCAAGAGCTGCACCGTGGGGATATGGGGAACGCCGGGAGCATCCTGCTGCCTGCTGGGGAGCCGGATGCCTGGGTCCAAAAATGGTTTGAATTCCTCGTGGAGACAGCTGAAGCATCGATAAACTGACCTTTCTGCTCCCCTTGGGCTTTCTGCTCCCTTTGGGAGCTGTTGCTTCTCCATGCCTGGTCCTGGGAGCACCCCAAGAGGGTTCTGTGCATCCCCCCCAGGGATCTGGCCTCTCCCATCTCCATCCCCCCACTCACCACGACCCTCCTGTATCTCTGTGGTCCCTCAGGCAGTCGGGGTGTCCATGCCCATCCCCAGCAGCCCAGTGCACAGCCCCAGCCCAGCGCGATGGAGCATCCAGAGCCAGAGCTAAGGAAGCCCTGCACCAGCTGGGGGTTTGGGCTGGGGGCTTCCCCCACCTCCCACACTTGAACACCCCCCCAGCACCCTGGGCTGAAGGACCTTACCTGGCTGATGGCTCACGTCCACCTGCAGAAAAGCTTGGCAACGCTTCACACCCACCCTCCTGCCCCAAATCTAAGCTGGGGCCATAACACTCCCCCCATAGCCCAAGGGTCGGGCGTAGAAGGACTTCCCTCG